TGCATTGTCTCCCAATTACGCTCTGCCGGCTGTTCTAGGTACCCTCCCCTTTTTATGGAGCTTTTCCGGGGACCCTCCCTACACTCCCCAGGCAGTTGATCTTTGACAGTGCCGGCTAGGAAGCGTGATCCGGATCTACTGTCTTATGCGTTTATATTTCTACTAGGAAAAAGGCCCGTTGTGGAAATAAATACAGATCTCTAGAAAGAGGCTCTGGGCCGGTGCCCCAGCCTTGGACACTCAGTGTCCATTTGCTGTGGCGACCTCAGCAGGGTATAATGACACTGAGTCCACCATTTTCTCTAGAGGAACTGATCTCTGCTACCTAAAGAACAGTTGTAATTTTGAGTGATCTCCAGCCCTCACCTGGAGATTGGCAACGATGGTTCCCCAGAAGGAAATGGTTGGTTTGGAGGGTGGAGTTTATGGTTTTGTACCTGTCTGAGGTCCCACGCCTCCTGAAACCTCACCTTCTCCAGGCTCCATCCCTCACATCTCCAGGAATTTCCCACCTGGAGTTGGCAACCCTATCTCCTTTCCAGCCAATAATCAACCTACCTTTATTTCCCTCACACTCTTCAGCTTTCCACCCCCCACACACCTGCAGCCTCTTCCATGCTCTGAAGCCCTGACTACTACGTCACATTGGCTGTCATATGGGGGCCACCTCAGCAGCATATAAGGATACAGAGCCCACCATTTTCTCCAGAGGAACTGATGTCTGCCATCTGGAACCAGTTGCAATTCTGAGTGATCTCCAGCCCTCACCTGGAGATTGGACACATTTTACCTCAGAACAGCAAACTGTTTAGAATGTTAGAGGCAAAAGCCAATCAAGTCGCATATGCAAGCAACCTCTGTGTTCCGAGGCAAAGGCCAATGAGGCTGCATATGCAAATAACCTCTGTGTTCTGACTGGCTGGGGGGGGGGGACAGCAAACTGTTTAGAATGTTGGAGGTGAGACTCAAGCAATGCAGCCAGTGGATAGAGACAGATTCTGAGTGACACACCAGGGTGCCAACCAATTCTGGAGTGTATGTAATGTTCTAGAGAAGTGCCCTCACCAGTCGGCTTTTATATATAAGGGGGATATGTCACCTTTTAAAAAGGTGCTTAAGAAATGCAATGTTATATGTAAGTATATCTATTTAGACAGCATCAATGTTCCCTCTAAGCTATGGAGCCCTGTGAGCAAAAATTCTACTTTGTGAGCTATTGGCATTAAAGCTGTGAGCAGGAGATTTGGCTGCTGCATAAATTAGTTTGTTCTGGAGCCATCCTTCCTGAGCTAAGACAAAAATGTGTGAACCAGAGGCTAAAAAACTGTGAGCTAGCTCACACTAACTCAGCTTAGAGGGAACACTGGACAGCATATCTGTTTAATTAGTCTCCCTTTTCCTCCTCTGCACGCTCCAGATTGCTTCTGCATGGCAAAATTATAGCTATAGTATCAGACCCAGTAATTTTGCCAGCGGAAACAACTGGTAGTCGGGAAGCTATAGTTGTCTGGTGCATTCCCCACAAATAATACCTATGCGTTGAAAATTCCAACTGGCTGATTTCCCTGGGGGTGCCAGTCTCTGGACAGGTAGAAAAAGCCAAACAGACGTACGCTGTAAATTCCCTAGGCCTTTAACACATGCACAACAAGGCAGAAATTCAACAGGGGTATGTGCATGCCACACCACACCACAAGGTAGCATCGCTTGCCTGCGCCCCCAAATTAATGGCAATACCTTGTAGGTGGAAGGAACCGTGTACGCCAGGGCGAGATTTTTTTTATTTTAAGGAATTAAAAATCATTCTGGCGGAGGAGAAGAAAGTACCTGGAAGGTGTTGGTAGTAGTAGTAGTAGTAGTAGTAGTAGTAGTAGTAGTAGTAGTAGTAATAATAATAATAATAATAATAATAATAATAATAATAATACCAAACTCTAGAGTGTTCTAATCACTCCACAGGCACTTAGGGCAGTGATTGCGATAACCCTCTAAATAGTAGGATTGCCAACTTCCAGGGGCTGGCTGGAGATCTGGAATGACAGCTGATATCCCAGATCAGTTCACCTGGGGGAAATGCCCAGTTTGGAAGGTGGACTCTGTGGCCTTCTACCCCACCAAAGTCCCTCCCCTCCCCAAACTCTGCCCTCCTCAGGCTCCAGCCCCCAAATCTCCAGGTATTTCCCGACCCGGAGCTGGCAAGCCTAGTAAATAGGTAAGTACTGTTATCGTCAAGGTAAAGGTAAAGGTTTCCCTTGCTGGAAAGCCAGTCAAATCCAACTCGTGCTCATCTCCGTTTACAAGCCGAAGAGCCAGCGCTGTCCGAAGACGTTTCCGTGGTCATGTGTCCGGCGTGACTAAACACCAAGGCGCACGGAACGCTGTTCCCTTCCCACCGAAGTGGTACCTATTTATCTACTTGCAATTTCTTGCTTTCGAACTGCTAGGTTGGCAGGAGCTGGGACCAGAGACGGGAGCTCACTCCGTCGTGTGGCACTCGGGTCTCAAACTGCTGAACTACCAACCTGCTGGTCTGCAGCTCAGCGTCTTAACCACTGAGCCACCGCAGCCCCTGCATCAAGCACATGTATAAAGACCACTTGCTTTGTCGAAAGTCGCCAAACGACTGCACAGCTGCCATCACATCTGTGTAAAGGTAAAGGTTCCCTTGCTCAAAAGCCAGTCGAATCCAACTCTAGGGTTACGGTGCTCATCTCCGTTTCAAAGCCGAAGAGCCAACGCTGTCCGAAGACGTTTCCGTGGTCGTGTGGCCAGCATGACTAAACACCAAGGGGCATGGAACGCTGTTACCTTCCCACCAAAGCGGTACCTATTTATCTACTTGCAATTTCTTGCTTTCGAACTGCCCCCAAACCTTGTTCCTGAAATTGTAATTGATTCTCAGCAGTGCTGCATTCTTACGATCAGCCACACGGGGGCGCCACGTACTCATGAATCCCTCCAGGGCACCAAAAAGAAACAAAGGTGAAGGCGATCAGCCCAGACACACACACACAGACACCGTCCCTTAAGTCCTGGGAATTATAATTCTTTAGACGGGGTGGGCTTTGGGCTTCTAATTTTTAAAAAATGGCCAGGACTCTCATCTAACTATAACTTCCAGGGTTCCCTGAGTGAAAACTTTTAGGAGTTAACATTTTCCTAGAGAAGGTGAGCTTCAAGCACTTGACAAGCAACATGAATGGGTTTTTGCTCTTCTTGCACATTCCAGATACCGCATTTAGGTTGGCTGGAATATCACTGCCTGTATTGACACAATTCACTCCAGTACACAGCTCTGAAGAGAAACTTTTAAGAGTGAACCAGTGATTGGGGGGGGGAGCAACCAGAATTAACTCCTGTGGCCGGAATCTCAGCAGAGTGGTTTATAAAATACACCTGTTTCTTTGGGTCTCTCAGGCCTCTTTGCTGAGTGGCCCAGGCTTCAGGAGAAACATTTCCTTATCTTCAGGGCTTTTCAGTCAGAAGGGAAGAGGAGAAGGGTTTGTCCCCCCAGGCTTCCCTTAGATGAGGCAGTCTCCCCCCCCACCCAATCTTTGGTGCATCTGATCCTTTCACACTATAATTATCTCCAATAAAGCCTCCATCTGCCTGCTGGGAAGAGCTGCTCTTAAGCCCCCTTCAGTTTTGCTCTTGTCCTCTGTCCTGTCATCAGGATCCATTACAATCCCATTAGCAACGTGAGCCGAGTGCTGACATGGCCGTCCTCGGCCGAGGCCTGTGCCAATCCTCTTAGCGGGTCTTTTAAGCAGATGTTCTCCTCTGGAGGGGCTTGAAGGGTGGGCCACGGATACATGGTTCTCGGATATCAGTTCTTTCCAATAGTTAAAATGCTGTCGTGGAGGAGGCAATATTTTTTTTTAAAAAATCACTACAGACGCGGTCCCACAGGGTTGGCCACCACAAAAACCAAACCTGAGATAACATGACATGTGCCAGATCCCATGCGAGTATTTCCACGTACACAGTCACAGGAAGCCACCTTAACACACCCGCGTACCCTGCAGAAGTCAAGCTATGCTTGGGGCTGTGAGCTTGATAATGAAACAAAGAGATGTTTGCTAAGCTGCCTTTTGTGATCTCCTCCCAAGCAGCCTGCTCCCTTCAACTCCTCTTCTACACCAGGTAAAAGGAAAGCAGATGATCTTCCTCTGTTTCTCCACCCTCTGCTGAAACCTGCCTCTCACTGTCAGCCCCACCCCACCCGCATACACACACACACCACCTACATCTCACTCTGCCGCAAGCGGTGGTCCTACAGAAAGTTTCCTGCGGACCCGTAGTTCCAGAAACCAACCAACCAAGCAAACTAGCCGATGAACCGGCAGCACGCATTCTTAATCTTTACTATGGTTCTAGCCCTCATGCTGAAAATGTGTAGGGAGCATATTCTGGAAAAGCTTCAGCACGCAGGGGAGTTTCTCTGGGCTGTGTGGTGTAGGGGTTAAGAGCGGCGGACTCTGACCCAGGGAATTGGGTTTGATTCCCCATTCCTCCTCCCTCTAAAGCCTGCTGAGTGACCTTGGGCCGGTCACCCTTCTCTCAAAACTCTCTCATCCCCACCTACCTCACAAGGTGCCTGTTCTGGGGAGAGGAAGGGAAGGTGTTAAGCTGCTTTGAGACTCCTTAGAGTAGAGAAAAGTGGGGTATAGCAATCTCTTCTTCTTCATCATCTCCTCCTCCGTCACTCACCGGCTTCCTTTTACATAACCCAAAATATACATGCAACAATAACATACTCCCACCAGTTTGGTGTAGTGGTTAAGTGCGGTGGACTCTAATCTGGGAGAACCGGGTTTGATTCCTCCACTCCTCCACTCACAGCTGCTGGATGACCTTGGGCAAGCCATAGTTCTGTCAGAGCTGTTCTTGAAAAGAGCAGTTTCTGTCAGAGGTCTCTCAGCTCCACCTGGCTGCCACAGGGTGTCTGTTGTGGGGAGGGGGAGGGGG